GGGTCCACTTCTGCTGTATTTTGAAACCCGTCCTAACTTGATGTAATTTTTGCTGCTGAACACGAATAGGCTTGTCCCGTGGTTTTTGGTGAAGCCGTCGTGAAGTTGCAACATGAAAGATTATTCCCATATCAGGCCTTATCAGAGATTTGATGTGTCCAAAAGAAGGAATTTATCATGTGATGTCCCAAATGGTCTGGACTTTTGTGAAAGTCTTTTCCTTCAACACGGCACAAACTTCCGGTCTAACCCTCTGAATAGACGCTGACATGTACTCTGACAGCCTCTGACCACAAGAAAATCCGCTCTCGGCGAAACTGAGGTTTACATAAGCAAAATTCCCACGATAGTTATTTAGTTGAGGCCCGATTCCGCTGAAAAAATAAATTTGTAGGTGATATCATTTTTTCTTATCGTTGGATCCCCTTGCTTTCTCTCAAGTTTTTTCACTTTGATTCCAACAGGGGAAGTGGTAAAAAAGTTTTGAATTTTTCACCTCTTTATGAGGCAGGAAATGTGCTATGAAATGTGAAATATTTGTGCTGAACATCTTCTAAAAGAAAGTTTCCATTTTATTTCCAGTTTTTCACCTTTGTTCTAACTCAGAAAAGTGGTAAGAAACTTTTAAATTTTTCACCAACTTTTGCAGCTAGAAATGTTCTGTAAAATCCGAAACATTATTGATGAAAATCTTCTAAAAGAAGCTATCAATTTTATTTCAAGTTTTTCACTTTCATTCTAACTTGGAAAAGTGGTAAGAAACTTTTGAATTTTTCACCAACTTTTGCAGTGAAAAATTGATGTAAAACTTTAACTATTTTTCACCAGTTTTAGCAGTCAAAAACTCGAAATGTTCATCCAGTGTACTTGATGCGCTCATCACCAATGAAAGGGCAATACATGCTGCGTCTCCCCACGATGATGGCAGAAATCCCTTGTTCGATTAATTCCCACAGGCCGACACCCGTTCCACCTTATCTTCTAGATTTATTCAAATGAACTGATATGCTCCCATTGCAAACCCTGCGGCAGTGACTCAAACCGACATCAAAACCCTCTGCGATGAATTTGGTTTGTTGGTTGGTGTAGATCCACTTTGGGAAGCGGTCGTGGTGACATCAAGGACTGATGTCTGAAAGTTGGCTGAAACCGTGCCAGTCTCTTACTGCCCCTGGCTGTTGAGACCAGAACAAATGGTATTTCCATTTTGCACGTCGCAATCGAAGCCAAGCACGATCTGGAGCTGAGTGCGAGAAGGTGTAAAAGACGTGGTCGGTGGCCGCGACCAAGGTGCCTGAGGAACGACAAAACACAGTCAGGTTCAACTCCGCCTATGAACCATGGCGAACGAAGCTCACCAGCCAAAGGGATTGTAGTCGTTCCTTTGATCTCGTCCTGTTTGACAGCGTACGTTGAGAGCACTCGGCACATCTCTAGGAAAACCGTCGCCGCCTTTTATCTTTCGAAAAAAAATCACCAAGTGTGATGAAGTGTTGATGAAGTGAGTTCATGCAGAGCCATCCCCGCAACATCGCCGCTTCTATACGCAACCATCTAACATCTGATCCTGTTTATAATTGCCTCATTCATGGGCAAAAAATCGCCGCAGATCTTCCGGGACGCTTTCGGCGACTGAGGATGTGTATTATCAGGATTATCTTACCAAAGACTTGGACCTGGCGTCTGAGTCTCCACCTTGGGTGGGGGAAAAGTAAATTATTCAGAGTCTTGTTGAGCCGTCAACGCTGTGCGCGTTCATAGCCCGGAGAAGACATCAGGAACAAGAGATCTGATGGCAATATCAGTCATCCCCATCTCTCGAGGCACGACAACTTTAGTAAGATAGCTTAAAAATAATAACTATTGTATAAACAATCACTATTTCTTGTTCCCGCCTTCGCTCCCGCTCTCCCGCAATGGCCTGCGCTTTGCACTGCCCTCCGGTGCAGTCCTTCGGTGCAATGTCACACGCTCCTCAGTCACAAGGGTAATTACCAATTAGGCTATTGAAATGCCAAATTGGGTAATCAAATGTAGAAACGCTTCGCCTCGAGCCAAACTGTTCGCAAGTAAAATAATGCATTCAGGACGTATCTAATGATGTGTGCTACTGTCTGGAGAATACCAAATGAGTTGAAGCCAACAAAATAAGACATAGAAGGACTTACAATCAAATACCCGCTTCTGCAGATCCACAAGCAGCGAGGAACTCATCGAGATCAAACCCAGGGGCACCGAGCAGATAATAACCAACGTGGGGGACACTGTCGGCGTCCTCCTCAGGCATTGTAGCGTCCCAATCAGCTGTGCCTTCGGGTTCCGAGTCAAAGTCGGAAGCACGGGACACCAAATCAAAGCCGGAGGAGCTCGAGGGAGGGGCGGAAAAGTAGTCGGGCTGTTGGCGATCAGACTGATAGTCTATTGCGTCGACTGGAAGTATAGGGTTAGTCCTGAATGGAGAGACTGCGGCACAAATGTACCATCAATGTAATCCATCGAGCTTGAAGGGCGAGACTGCGAAGGGGCCGATGAGCCAGCGTCGTCGATAAATTCGACTGCGGTTTTTGTCAGAGTACAGAAAGACAGACATAAAGAAAACCAGACCTTCGGAGTCATCGTCTGACACCAACGCCGATGACACCCGTGGAATCGATGCTGCAGTTCCGTATCTGTAAGGGCAACCTCAAGGCCCGAGTATACTCAAGAGTCCTGACGAGGGGGATCCGGAGATAAATATCACAGAGTAGCTACAGATACAAATGGACAGACCTGACGAGGGGGATCCGAAGAGAAGAAAGACTAAGGATCACCCGCGTCAGATCCCGGTATATAAGTAACTACGGACGGGGGGCATGTGATAGCAACCGGAGTGATCGGCAGAGGTCCCGGGCGGAATCACAGGCCATGTGATATCGGGAGGAGCCGGAACGGGTCGGAACGGGACCGGAAGGTCCGGATGCGGGAGCGGAAGGGCCGGAAATAGGGGTTCCCCTGACAGTATCAGTCAATGGAATGGCTGTTCCGAGGTGCGCGACCCTTGCCCTTCTTCTCTGACTGGAGCTCCTTGAGCTGCTTCTTTTTCTCAAGGATGTTGTTCTCCAGCTCTGAATGCTGAGTGTGGTGCTGCTTGCGCCGAGCAGCGCGGGATACACTCCGCTGCATGCGGGAAGTGTCGCTATTGTTACGGTTAACGGGGATGCAGGTCTCCCTGGAAGCGCAAATGGACTCCGCCCTCGCTCGATCGAAAGCGCGGGCCCTGCATGGCGAAATGGTCGTCAGCGCTAACTACATTATTTGTAGCGTATGGATGCATACCGCTGTATGGCCTCGAGGGGCATCAACTTGGTGCCTGTCTGATCGTTTGTAGCTACATGCGCGCTCTCCACCAAGTTGGTGTGATTTGGAGTCTGGATCCAAAAGCCTGGGGGGAACAGGGAGAGTGACTCATTGTAGCCCGGGAGCAGCCACAAGTATCGGATTTTATGCTCATACCAGTCTATGCAAGTAAATTAGACTGTCAGATCTGTTCGCTGAAAAACAACTCACCACGCAGCTTCTTGTTCTCGTGGTTGCGGCAGAAGTCACTTCAGGCTAGTACTAACCTGGGCCTTATAGCCTCATTTCATTATGGGAGAGGATGCGCCTAGGAGGGGTCCATATTGTGGTCAAATACCACCCATGTGGACATATCCACCAGCCGTGGACACATCCACCCAGTGTCACGTCACGGCCACAGTGGACGTGTCCACGGCTGCCTATAGGGCCAGCTCGTTTTTGGGATTTCTGGGGCTCTGCGGGGCCCTTTTGGTGGCTTGTGGGGCTAGTATATTATCCTGTACCTGTAGGTAGTAATATCAGATCGTTTTGGGGATTTCTGGGGCCCTTTTGGTGGGTCCCGCCTGGTGAATATTCGCCTGCCTGGCTCGATATACCCCCGCCTGGCAGATATTCGCCTGCCTGGCTCGGTATACCCCCGCCTGGTGAATATTTGCCCGCCTGGCTCGGTATAACCCCGCCTGGTGAATATTCGCCCGCCTCGCTCGATATACCGCCGCCTGGTGAATATTCGCCCGCCTCGCTCGATATACCGCCGCCTGGTGAATATTCGCCCGCCTTGCTCGATATACCGCCGCCTGGTGAATATTCGCCCGCCTTGCTCGGTATACCACCGCCTGGTGAATATTCACCCACCTGGCTCGATATACCACCACCTGGCCAATACTCGACCCTGGACATATCCATCTCTCTCTTTTTTTCCCCTGTGGACACATCCATTTCTCATTTGTTTTTACCATGGATCTATCCACCTCCCTCTGGATGTATCCACACCTGGATGTATCCACCCCTCTCTGGATGTAGCCATTTTCCTTATTTATCCATCGTGGATGTATCCACCACCATGTGGATGCGTCCATTCTTTTTTTCTTCACTGCGGATATATCCACAGGTACAGTGGATACATCCACCCCGTCTTTTTTACGCATCTGTGGACATATCCACACTTGTTTTTTTTTTTGCACCGTGGATACATCCACGTAACCCTAGTTGCTTCCGTGGAAATATCCATCGTGGAACCAAACAAAGGTGTGGACGTTTCCATTCCTTCAATGGATAGATCCAATGACTTGTTTGGTTTTATCTTGTGTTATTTGGTGCATGGCTGGATGCATCCACTCTACCTAGTGGCTATATCCAAACTGTGTTTACGTGGATAATGGGTGTATCCACAAGACATTACATTTTTTATGGAGTAGGGAAATTACTATGTGCATCTGCTATCGGTTGCTGTCTATTGTTCACCTATTAAGTCATTACATTTGTTCAACTGATTTATTGCAATGTCCTCAACTCGTACGGTACATTTTTACTACGTCTCAACCTAAAATTACCATTTCGAACCACTCAAACCAAAATTACCATACTCGGACGGTAGCGGTTGTTGTCCCTTCTTAAAATGACGTCAGCTTAAATCAAAGTTAACGGTCCGGGGACCAAAATGATGGTTGCTGAGGGAGTCGAACCCTCTTCACATGTTGGTTAAGTTCTGAAGCACTGTACAATTCCCAAGTGCCATACCGTTAGACCAAGCAGCCTTATTAAAGCCATGCTTGGGCCCTCACTCAATCCTAACAAAAGATGTAATTACTTCCCGCAAAAAAAAAAGGACGGTCAAAAGAAGGCCCGAATCTGGAGTCGAACCAGAAAATTTCCCTATAAGCAAAGTTGTCGGGACGTGTTAACCATTACACCATTCGGGCTTCAATTCAAGGGAACCTTTATCCTGCTTGAACGATGTAAGTAGTACCTTGGAGGAATAAAAATAAAAATAAAACATTACGAGACAGCTGAACGACCACTGTGGGATTCGAACCCACACCACCCATTGATACATTTTGACGCATCCGCAAAATTGACCATGGAGGCCGTAACCATTAGGCAAAGTGGCCTTGATACTTCTTGCTCCTCCAGTGCCTTATATTCCTGCCTCCTCACCTGTCTCGTGAGAAAAAAAAAACACTCGCTGCGCCGCAGTTCTGCGTGGGGAGCGTAGTGCTGCGGATCAATCTGCCATAAAAACCCGCTCACCCTTGTTTTATCAGTCAACATCTGCACATCCTCCCAAAGCTATGTCCCAGCCCCAATATTACCATCTCATTAAACATCGCGCGTCTGACGTTGACGAGTCCGGCTATATTTTCTGCCCAATCGCTATCTATGCAAAAGAAGGAACTCACCTACGAGACGAGTCGGAATTATGTTTCGTCTGGACCGTCCACGAGACTGAGGCCGGGTTAGATGGGATCTACGTTCAGCGGTAAGTCGTGATGCGCCCTGATCCGCTGCACTGATACTCATCTTGGCATGTACAGTGGCGGGGCAGAAACTGCCCTCCTTCTCAGTGAAGGCCCAAACACCGTTTTGAAGCAGCATATCAGCATCGGCAAAGCGGCCAAATTCTTGAACTATGTCTGCGGGCAGAGTGCCACATGCCGCGCAAGATTCAAACACGACACGGAGTTGAAGGAAAAGGCCGACGCTGACGAGTTCGACATGGCGGAGGAATTTTATGGGTCCGGAAAATATAGCAGTACCGCCAGCCGGACGGGCGACGATGAAGATACTTCCCAGGCCCAATCCAGCGGTGTGGGGCCCCAGTCTGCCAATGACGAAAGCCACCTTCAGCTTTGCGACATCAACATTTATTCCGCAGACCTCAGCATCTATGCCGATGACGAACTGGAGCTCGGTTACCCAAGCGACGGCGGGGCATGATGCGGCGACACTACATACGAATACTATACGCGCTGCTAGCAACTCAGGTGCCTAATGTAATTGTACTTTGTAAATCAGAATCGAAAATAGCATGCGCCTGAATTGCAACTAAGTGAAAGGCAAAGAAAATAAGTAAACAGTATATAAAAGGGGCGCGAACTTTACGCGCCCGAATCGTGGTAAATTAACGCTCTGGAACTTACAAACCCAGTTCCGCCGCCGCGAATTGTGCACCGACATTGCCCGTGATGTCAACATCAAAGCCCGGCAGAAGGGGCACCCAGCTCATAGCACGATTGAGGAAAACCGTCTGCTTTCCACGTTCCGACTGGCCCGCTTTCATTGGCGCCACAAATGTTGAGGAGGACATGACACCGCTGCGGATGTATCGGCATCGAAGGTGGTTATCGGGAACGAGCGTCGAGGGACCAGCCGGTGGCGCGCCCGATGTGGATGCCTGCTGTGTTGATGCCGTGGGCTTTGCCCGCTTGCTGGCCCCGCCCAAGGGATGCTCCGCCTTGCGTTTCTTGCTCGCCGCTTTCTTCCCCGCATCTTCCTCGTCGTCCTCGCCGCCCTCATCATCTGACGAGCCATCATCGTCACCACTTGCTGCTTTTCCCTTCGTCTTCGCCGTCTTGGCAATCTTTGTGAGCCACGCTTTCGAATCCCCAGCGCGAGAGAGCACAGTGCCGTCCTCACAAGTGACTAGCGCGACCTCCTTGATCTCTTCACTGTCGTCGAGGTCGCGTTCATCTGTTTGCGGTCAGGGTTCCCGCCGGTTTCGAAACAAAATAATAATAATAATGTACCTTCCGTCCATGAGACTACTTTCACTCCCTCACTGTCCTCCTCCCCCTCGTACCGAGCCTTCATATCCGCGTACATCGCCTGCATCACAGTGGAATGGGGCTTCGCTGAAACCTTGACGAGGCTGAAGCCCGGCGCGGGATACAGGTTCTTGAGCGTCGCAGGCCAGTTTACGATGCGCACCTGGAATTTAGTTGCGAAGTCGACCCATTGCCATGACATCTGCTTGACGTCCGTCCAATCTTCCCCTCGCTCCTGCAGAGCCACGCCTGTAGTATAGTGTCAGATCGTATTAATCGCCTTTACCAATCTCCCACGTACATATATCGTTCAGGAACAGTGCGGGCAGATAGCGGCGCATGAGGTCGCGCTGGGTTCCCTTGCTGTCGTCGAAGATAATCGTCCGCGGTTGAGCGGTCCCGTTGCTGGCTAACTGGCGGTCGGACATCGCTTGCATCCTGGCATTCATGTCAGAGCTCCGCCCACCATGATGAACATTCCAAGTGCAAACTCACTGGAACACCGTCTTGACATCTGTCATCGGCCCCATAACGGAGGGCCTGTGGGCTTCAAACACACGCAGTCCCAGCGGAGTTCCTGCCCATCCCACCACCGTGTCGGCGTGCAGGTCGATGGCGAAGCCCATGATTTCCAGGTCGTATTTCTGGCCGGCGATTGTGCTCTGCAAAATGTCACCTTTTTAGAATGTAATGCGGCATTCATAACTATAACTCACCTCGCGTATGAACGGCTGCAAGGCCTTGTTCACTAAACCCTTCCCCCGACCCTCAGCCCTCCTATTATCCATTACCTGCATGCTCTTCGACTGATACCACTCCATCACCTCTCTTGTACATTCACTGCGCTTAGCAGGATCACTTCTGTCCTCGTCGGAAAGGGAGGAGAAGAGCTCTTCGTAAGCTGCTCGGATCTCTTGCTGATAATCCTCTGACGACTCTGAGTTCACCGCTCATCAGCCACCAGCGCATGAGAAAAAAACCGCGCGACTCACTGCTTGCGGGCTTCGGATTCTCTGCCCGATACTTCGTCTGGTGCGCGTTCCACGGATTCGTCGTCCTGCTGGATGGATTGGTCTCCCCCATCGCCTTGTACACGGCGGACACGCGTTTCCCCTCGGTTCGTGCCACCTCTACTACCAATTCGTGCAGCGATGCACGCGTGGCGAGGAGCTTGTCCACCTTTGACTGAGAAATGGGGCCTGGCCGCAAAGCCCACGGCCCGTGGGCTGTGTCGTCGTCATCCTCACTTTCTTCACCTTGCCACCCTCCACCTCCCTCCTCCTCCTCCTCCTCCTCATCTTCCGACGCATGGTGTTTTCTCCCTTTCCCTTTGTCTTTCCCCCGACGTTCCTCGCCAGCACCAAACTCCGCATCGTCTAACCGGTCCTGCTCCTCGATCGAGAGCTGCACTGCGGCGCCGGGAATCTGCCTGGCGACTTTGTTATGCTCTTCAAGCGCCTTTGCTTCCTTTGCGGCCGTGGCAACGTAGTCCGACCCGTCCGACTCCCAATCCGTTTCGTGGTCGTCGGGGCCCGGGCCGGGCGTCGCGCTGCGGTGCCGGGCCCCGCCTTTCTCTAGGCGCAGCCGCATCTTCGTGTCCTCGAAAGCAGCTGCTGGGAATACAGCGTATGGGGATCCACTGGCTAGCGCAGTCTCCAGGGAGTTTCTGTACCAGGCGGCGATGTCGAATTCTGGGTCGAAGAAATTTATGTCCTTCACCAGAGTTTGCATGTAAGAGCCGGAGTCGACAAGGCAGTGAACATTGTTCTTCTTTGGGTGCGGCCAGATTATGAATCGCTGGTCCATGTGGCCCATCCCAATGACATCGTCGCCGGGGTACGGCTGCCCCGCCACCAGGGTCGCCGCAGCTGCAATCTCCTCCGGAGTCGGCACATAATTGTTAGGAGCCGGCTCATACTCCCAGTCGTCCTTCTGATATGTGAGCTTTCGGACGACTAGATGCGGGTATAGGACCTACCGACGCGTCTTCCGGCTCGGGAGTGTTGTTCTTTGGGCTGCACACACCGTCGGGACTCGACGGTTCCTGTGGTGTGTCCGTTGCAGCATCGGCGCTGGACGTTTCGTTCCGTGCGTCGAGTGTCTACACAAAGGAAAAATGGGTAGAGTCCCACCAGACATGAATGAAACCCACCAGGAGCGCTTCCAAATCCATGTTCGTCGGCTCCTTGGCTGCCTCGAGTGTCTGCAGAATCATTTCCCAGTCAGCACGGTCCCTCAGCGATAAATAAAAACGCACCAGCGGCGCTTCTGGATTAAGTTGCGGCGCCTCCGGCGCGGCGTTCACTGGTGGCAACATCTGCACAATATGCTTTAAGTAAATAATAATCCACGAGCAACGAGACGAAAAAACCCACCGGCGCCGGCTCTGTAGCAGCGTTACCACCCTTTTTGGCCTTTTTGTTTTTCGCTACAGCCGGTTTGGGCACGGCAGTCGCGTTGCCCTCCTTGCCCTCGTTCACGGTTTTCTTCTTGCGGCTTGGAAGAGGTGTAGTGGCGGGCGCAGCAGCGGCTCCGGAGGTTTTGTGGCGGGTTGAGCGCCTAGGTGGTACGGGTTCGGACATGGGTGTACAGGCTTGAGTATAAACTGCTTGGTGGGGGAGATTGTGGTGGCAGAGTAGATGATTCTGGAAAGTGCAAAAATTCGGTAAGTCGATACTTAGGATACTACCAGATAATACCTGGTGGCTCGGCGCACGAGAACAATGCCACAACACTGCAACAGCCGGGGACAATGCAGCGCTGATACGCGTTTGCGCTTGGAGCTGGTCGGGCCACCTTCGCGCTCGAATTGATTAGAAAATCGGGGCCAAGCTGCGCCCGTTTCGCTTAATTCTGTAGAACAATAGCGCCGTCAGTGGCACCGTCTAGGTACTATAAAGTCGTAGGGATACGCACCGCACTGGCAAACTTGTCTGTCCTCCTCCGCTTCATGTCCACGCGACACCCTGCCACCAACCTCCATACCCAAATCTCCTACTTCAATCGCGCTCAATTAACGCGTCATTAACGTTTTCCCTGCTTCTCAGACACCTCATACACCCTCCCCGACATCTTGCTTGAAGTTTCCGCGTTGCTGGAGCATTTCGACCAATGTCAGCCTCCTCGATATTCCCCACATTTGCATGTACGCACCTTTTTCTGACGTTGCTATTCCTTCTAACCGTTGTGCAAGCGTCTGCAACACGTTGATATATGCGCGTCAGTCGTTTGAAGGGCTGCACGCGTAGCAACACACCTAATATGTGCGTCTTCACTAATCCCCCCCGCCGTCAAATATTTATTCCGCTCAATTAACGCGTCACTCACGTTTTCCCTGCGTCTTAGAC